CCCAACTCCCTTCCTCTCTCCCTTCCTATAGGGGCCTCAATCTCCCACTGCCACTTACCTACAGGAGCTGCTCTCCAGTCTGCATGGCAGCCATACGCATATAAATGTACATGGCACCCCCTGCCCGACTGCCCTCCTCCTGCTCCCTTTTAGCCGCTTGCAAGCTGGAACTCTGCCAGCCTGCAGAGAGCTCTTTGCAAAACTTAAAAATCTACAGGTTTCACTGTTCAAATGAAAAACCCACTTTTTCCTCAGAGAAAAGGGAAAATCCATGTTTTTCTTTTTTTTTTCCCATGGAAAATGGAAAACCCGGATCCCTAGAAATGAGATATCCCAAGGAGACAAGGCATTCAGAGAAACTTATTAAATTATTATCATTAGTGTTGCATGTTATATGCACATTAACATGGAGACTGAAATGTAAGGCCATTGTCATACTAATTATTTAGTCACTAAAGCAGAGATCATACTAATGGAAAGGATAAATTAGTTACTTTCGTGGGCTGCTGTGAATATAGTTACACAAGATTTCTTTTTTTACCTAAAGGGTCTGCCTCTATTTTCTTTTTCTTTAGACTATAAAATTGGTAGTAACTCATAACAATAAATTAATGTGAATTGGCATTTCTTCTTCACCTTTTAAAAATTCAACTGATCCTGAATAATTTTAAATGCTTTTCATGAAGCACGCGTATTCAGAAATCACTGCAGCTATGAACAGTGGTCCCAATCATATGAAAACATTCATTTTAGTGAATACATTCCAAAACTCCTATGAAATAAAAAAGCAATGGATAAAGATGAGAAAAGAGACATTTTAGTGAGTATAGTACAATTCCTGCCAATAATGAGATCTGTTATTCTAGGGAGTATGATGGAAGTCAGGATTCTTAGGCCACTTAGGACTGGAAGAAAAGCAGAACCTGAAAAATATCAGGGCTAGGATCCAGAATGCCCTGGGTAGACTGAAAACATAATCTACAACCAGTCAGATAAAATTCAACAAAAACAAGTACAGTCTTGAATTTGGGACAGAATAATTGCATGCACAAATACAGACTGGGAATGATTGGCTAGGCTGCAGTACTGAAGGACCTGGGTCTTATAGTGGAGCATACGCTGAATATGAATCAACAGCGTGCTCTTCTTGCAAAAAAAGCCAACAGCATCTTGGATTGTATTAACAGGATGTCACTTACAAATAAAGGGAAGTGAATCTTCCACACTATTCAACACTGGTGTGGCCTCACCTGGAATACTGTGTTCGTTTTTGGGCCACACACTGCAAGCAGAATGTGGACAGATTGGAAGGAGTCCAGTGCAGAGTAGTGGAACTGATTAGGTGCCTGGGAAGTAAGACTCATGAGGAAAGGCTAAAAGAACTAGGGTTATTTAGTCCAGAAAAGAGAAGACTGAAAGGAGATTTTTGATAACAGTTTTCAAATCCCTGAAGGACAGTTATAGAGGATGGAGATGGGCTTTTCTCTGGCTATACAGAACAGGACAAAGAGCAATGACCTCAAGTTGCAGCAGAAGAAATTTAGGTTAGAGATTAGGAAGAACTTTCTGACCATGGGTATGGTCAAGCATTGGAACAGTCTACCTAGAGAAGTCATGGAATTTCCATCCTTGAACATTTTCAGGAGCAGGTTAGACAAACACTTGGCTGGGATGGTTTAGTCAGGGATGATCGTGCCTTGACCAGGGGTCTGTTTCCAGCCCTACTTTCCTATGCTCCTAATAGTTTTAGGGAGCTATTAACTTTGCACTGGGTGGATGTGATTACCTGCAAACTTTTTTCCATTTGGGCTTATTCAGAGACTTCTCCCAAATTTTTCTTATTTATGCCTTTCCCACATAGTTGCACCCTTCTTTTCCTCTTTGGTCCATCTTATCTATGCAGAGCTGACTTGAGGAGGATGCGGGGCCCAGGGCAAATCAGTCCATGTGGGGCCCTGCCCCCTCTCCAATCTGGGCCCCGGACCCAAAGAAGCTGCCGATGCCGATGCCAGTGGCAGCATTGGCAGTAGGGGGCAGGTAGCAAGTGGCTGCACACGGAGCTGCCGCTGCTCCACCCTGCTCTGTGGGGCTCCCCCCAAAGCACAGGGCCTGGGGCAGTCGCCCCAATTTGTACCCCCTTAGGGACGGCCCTGTATCTATGTCTTCTGAAATGCAAGTAATGAGCTATATAGTATCTTGATCTTCCCTACTGGTAGAAAGTTTAGTTACAGAAGCATATCCACACCTGCTCCTGTAGTAATAAAGTGAAATACACATTGGTACATTTTTACCTTGTGAAATTTTACAGAATGAAAATATTTTCTGTTAATATTGTACATTGGTCATTCTCCAGAAAGCCAAAAGGAGGAGTAACCATGTAAGCCTTGGGCATGAATGAAACTGGGAGAATCCAGTATGAGCAAATAGATGACTTTGGGAACAGTCTGAGAGAATGGTTATCTCTGTGGTATATGCCTGGAATCATCTATGTATGTCAGATACTCAGTGGAGTGAAATAGTTATATGTCATGCCACTCTTCAGTCTTCCCAAAAGTAAAAATATCATTTAGTGTTTAGAATAACTACGAACTAGCAATTAAATGAAAACAAACTGGCCAAAGTTAAGCAGTCATTTCCTTACTGAGTTGCAGTATGTGGCAATATCTCAGTTTTTCACCCTAGGGAAAACTACCTTGCTTCTTGGAGGCAGTGGGGTGACAAACACTGGAGAGCAGTGGGAAGGGATGGGACAGAAGGAGGCAAGGCAGTATTACCTGCCCCAGAGAGTCAAAGACCCTGGCTGCTGCTGCTTCTGTCTCTCCATACCCAGCTCATACAGTTGGAGGAGTAGCTGCTGCTGTGCCTCCTATACTGCCCCTCCTCCCCCACAATTACACTGCTGGCCTAACAACAAAATTAGGGTTTTTTGAAGCTCCAAATCTAAAAGAACATTTTTCAATATTTCACTTCAGTATCCTGCAAGCTTATTCAAGTCTTAAACTGTTAATAACATTTCTTAATGTCATAAAAACAAAGTTGGAAAAGTTACAATGAAGGGTTTTGGGGGGTGAATTTCGAACAGAACTTCACTTAAAAGATGCAGATTCTCAGGTCATTAAGCATAAGTGTAACCCAGATATGACTGAAGTTGGACTTCATTTTCTACAAACTAAACATTCTATACCTGTAGTGAAGAAAAGTTTTGTCTTTGTGCAAAAATTGCATTTAATCCTAAAAGGTTATGGTGCTGTTTTCAGTAGTGAGCATATTTTCCACCTGAGCCACTGCATATTATTACTTTTTATTTGTCTATGTTCCAAGATATCATGTTGCTAATATATGAAATATTGATATTTTAATGTAAGATGTTATGTTTTTGGTTGCAGGAGAATCCAAATCCTCATACCGCTTTCCAGAAAGTCCCACGGCCCACTGAGGGGTCCCATTTGCGAGTTCACATCCTTCCTTTTCCCAAGATCAATGAGAGCCGGGTTCAGGAGCTAATCCAAGAAGGCATTGCTAAGAACCAAAGTGCACCACCTGCTACTCGTCTAGAAAAGAAATGTGTGGTTCCTGCTGGTCCACCTGTTGGTATGTTCCCTTGATAACTAGTTTTTATCTTTGAGTCCATGGTAGAATGGAAGTCTCTACTTGAAGTAAAATGTGTCATAGAAATTTAACTGGGTGGGCAGAAAGTATGGAAAGAATTCCTATTTTAATTACTTGAGAGTATAATTAATGTATCAAGGAATCTGGTTCTCGATTTACCAATTAGGTAATGAGTTGTTTTAAAAAGTTCTGGAAGTTCGGTACTTGGAATAAATGAAAGTAAAGGTTTTCTAAATAAACGAGAAACTTGCCTTGACTTCATTAAATTGTAGCCTTCTCCTTGTACAGCTTATTACATTAATTCTTTTTTCTCTTTATTTGTTATGTCAGCACATTCAAGAACTAGTTCATTTTACATGGGGGGAAAAAGCCTATTTTGTTCCTGTGTCTATGGCATGGCATTCTCTTCTGTGTAGAAAGAGAGAGGAAAGAGAATGAGAATGATAGATCTTAAATACTAAAGTTTCTTGCAAGTTCAAAACAAATGCTGTCTTAAATAATCTCTAAAATTGAAATGAAATGAGATTCTAGGTAGGAGGTCTGTGTTGGAAATTTTCATTACAAACCATGGATTCTTTTAGATCAGTAGTGCACAGACTTTTGACCCCACAGGCCAAATAAATGTGCAGGGCTGGTCCATGGACTGGATCGGTTACCATGTTGCCCCTGTGCAGATTGGACCCTGGGACTCCACCCAGCCATAGCCCAATCCTGACTGCACTGGAAAAGTGCATAACCCAGTCCTAATGGATAGAGGATGGGTGGAGGTGGCATTAGGGCCCTGGGTCCCAAACTTGGCTGGGTGGAGGTGGCTTGGGGGTCCGTACCCCTTCCCGTCCATCTGGGATCAGGCTTTGCAGGGTCTGTACTACCCCCACCTGGCCAGAATCATGTTCTGGGGGCTCTGCCTAGGCACTGCTTGCCAGAATCAGGCCCTCTGCCACCCTGCACACTCTATGTAGTATGCAGGGCCATGACCCACAGGCTTCCTGCAGATCCCTGGGGAGCCCGGCAGGCTGAATGACTTGGCGCAGGGGGCCAGATCTGGCCCACAGGTGGAGCCCCCTGCTTTAGATTCTCGATTCTTCTGAGAAACTATCTTAGAGAATAGCAAGTTGTGAATTAATAAGGTTAACTTAAGTTTCTTTTATCAGGAAACCTTTTATTGTATAATCAAAAGAGAGGTCTCTTCTAAGGGACAGATACAATCTAAATCAATTCTGCACTGTCTGCAGCAAAATATGAATGCCCCAAATATGTTTGTGTTTGTTTGCATGCTTTTGAGTGGAAGATACTCTCATGAAAATTATGGATATTAATAGAAAGATGTATCAGGTTGCATAGAAGACATGCTTTCCTTAATTAATGCTATGATGGAAACATTGATACCAAGCTGTGCGTTTAGTTTGTAAATGGTTTACATGTTTTCTTTATTTAAAGGCTAGGTAAATGTGGAACCCTGCAATTGCTTTACTTACAGCAGATGAGAAAATAAGACTTAATAAATTAACAATTGTATTTTCTTGGTTTTAAAACTTAGAAAAGCTAGCAAATTCAGCATAGCAAATATGTTTTTGTAAGGAGACTAGATTCTTAGAAAAGAAAAATTAAACACAAATGAAATGTGAGTTAAACATATGATTAACATAGTAAAACAAAGTTGAAGAAAAGATTATATACTAATTCAGTTAGTTGCTGTAAGAAGATGGAAATAGACTTCACTTTTTCATGCCATAGTGGTTAAGATTGTAATCTTGAAAAAAGAATCTGTTTGTATGTTAACACAATTATATTTAGTTTCTTGAGTTAGAATCTGGCTGTCTACAAAACAACCAAAATCAGAAATAGAGACCCAGTTAAAATTCAGAGCACCATCACAAGTCAATTACAGTCAATGTGAATGAAGAAAAACAAGAATAAGCAAATATTTTTAAAGGCTACTTCAGTTTCTAATATGTTTCTCACATGTGTCTAAGGTCAACTGACTTGAAGAAATGTTAAGAATTTTGTGACTACTCTCTACTTGCCATAAAACTGATCCACATGTATACTTTTCCTTCCTCCTTAGTTTCTATAATGGAAAAGGGAAGTACAGTTTTCAACAGTGCACAAAGGCTTGAAGTTGTTAGAAACTGCATCTCATTCATATTTGAAAATAAATTTTTGGAGACTGAAAAGGTAATTAAAAAAGTTAACTTTCCTGTTAAGTTTCTGAAACTTGTTTTTCTAACGTTCATTTACTGTTTCATTCATTGAAATGAATGATAACACATGTAAGCAGTAAACCCACAAAATTGTTTAAATCCAGTGTGTATGCTTGTGTGTAGTTGTGCCTTCTAAGGGCTTGTTTATAATATTTAGTGAATTCATGTTCATTTTTGCCTAATCATATTGACTCTATTCACCACATATTATTTTCCATATGGGTTTTTAAAAGTTCATAAAACAGAAGAGTTCCAGTTACAAAGAATGTAAACAAAACACAGACTTAGTGACATCGTTATTTGCCACCAGGTCCTCTTTTGAACTTTTCAGTGAAGCTAATTCCTATCTATTACAAAAATTATACCGTTAATACAGTGTATAGTGTTTAGGATTGTATTTAAATAGTTGGCTTGTTCACTGTTAATAAAATGTGTGACCTTCCAGAATTGTTATACTTGGCGTTCTTATTATTTCTGCCTCTAGATATGGCTAATTGTATGGATTTTATCCATGGAATTTTACAGCTATTAGTTCCATGCCGTATCATTTTTTTACATAGAGTTTACGAAAGAAAGCCAAGTAAATTGTAACTTTAATCCAAAAAACAAAGCTAGAGGTTTGTTTCTGTTTTTTCAGTTTTGCATGCATCTGTGTGTGTCTGTGTCTTGTGTATGTGTGAAATACATTTCATGCAACTTAGACTTCCTCACCTGCATTCTTCCTACAAATCTTTCTTTTCTGAGTTTTTTTCTAATACTCCAAAACTCTAAGCATCATCAAACAGCTGTACTTAAGAGCTGGAGGAAGGAGTAATGCTATAAATTTTAACTGCGTTCACATTCATTAGATTTGGTGGAATTTGCTTTCCAAATTTTACAAAACTGTTCATGCTAGACAGTATTAAGTTGTGGACTAGAAGCAGTTTTAGTCTGTTTCCTCAAGATCCATTGTGAATTCAGTCCTAGCATCTGCCATTTGCAGGCTAATATATTGTGCTGTCCGGAAAGATTGTTAGGAAATCTGTTGAGATTTCTAAAAATTTAGGAGCTATGTAAATACTTTGAGGATCGTTTCAAGCCTGTACAGCAGAATTATTTAGCTGGTACTCTTGGATTTGTAAGTGAAGAGGAAATGGAAAAAGAGTAAAATTCTTGAGTAAAAGAATTCTCTCAAATATTTTTCAAATAGATTCCTCCTATAAACTATGTATGTTTTGGAGAATGCAAGATGGCATGATATAATGATCCTGTAGCACAAAGTGCCTAATACATTTGTAGTTCTACTACTTGTGAGAAATGTGTCCATCTGAAAATCATGCTGAAAACTCACCATTATCAGGACACATGTTCAGTAGGTTTTAATAGGCATTACTTATGCTAGTTTAAGACCTAGACCTTCTTGTGTTCCTTCTGTTCCAGAGAAACAGGATGTTCACCCTCATTTGCACAAGAATCTGACTCCAATTTCATATTTGTTTTGTTACTGGCCTCAACATTTCTTCTGCTTAGAGATTTAGTAGGACATTTATGCTGTTTATTAATGATGCATACAAAAAAAAAGAGGGAGAGCTTAAAGCTTAGTAACTGGGTTAGCTTGTGTTATGTTAAAATGAGAGTGTGATGATGAAGTTTTGAATTCAGTTTGGAGTTTTCATTTACTAAATCTTTGTTTGCAATGTCTTGACAGAGAATTAATGACAGTCAATATTTATTGGCCCTTCATTTCACTGAGGTTAGATTTTCTTGTCTGTAGACTTTGCCTGCGACACTGAGAGCCCTAAAAGGAAAGGCAGCTCGACAGTGCCTGACACAGGAGTTAAGCCTTCATGTTAAGCAAAATCGAGCAATATTGGACCATCAGCAGTTTGACTACATTGTGAGGATGATGAACTGTGCTTTACAGGTACATTACATTTATTTTTATGTCCTTTTACAGATCTCCTTTGTTATTTTAAATAAAACAATGTTAATGATGATGTAGGAAAAACATCATAATGTCATTGGGGAACAGTATACTGTAGAAAATGTAGCATATTACCTGTCAGTGGAGTTTTTAGCCGTTTTGCAGCTGAGAAGATAATGAGCCAAGATCCACATTGCTCTGGCCAATTGTATCTGTATTTGGAAAGTAGTCTACATGATGTCAAAGCCTCCTTTCCATTTGTATTGGAAAAAGTGGGTTTTTTCTTTTAAAAATTTAATTAAAAAAATAACCATGGTCCCAGCCTCCATAGAAATTGTTATTCAAAACAGTCTTAGTTGATCTGAAGCTTAAATCTGTAGGTCTGTTTAGCTAATCTGCTTTCTATAGTATATGAGCTAGCTTGTGTGTTCTTTTATGACCCTGCACAGTGATATTCACTGGTTCTAAGCAGTGCTATCCAGTTGGATAAAAGCACAAGTCCTTCCACTAGCCAGTGAATTTTGCCAGTTCATTGATACAATATCATTTAGAGCAGTGGTTCTCAACCTTTTTTGTATCAGGACCCATTTGCCAAGATCAATGGCTTGTCCTGACCCACACCCCCTGGCCCTGCTGGTGCTTGACCCACAGTCCCCTGCCCCCCTGGGCCCTAGTGATGCCCCTCACTCCCGATCCACAGTCCTCTGCCCCGCCAGCCCTGCCAGAGGGGGTCCCAGCTGCCTCTGTCCTGCTCAGGCCAGAGCATGAGCAGCGAGCATGGGCCCCACATGTAGCAGCACTGACCCTTGCCTCTGGGCCAGGCACACAGCTCCTCACTGTGAAAAACTGCCCCCCCTCCTTCCCCTCCTGAAGGGCCAGTCATCTTCTCCCCCACACCCCGCTCCCTGTGCCCTGCTGCAGGCCTGCGCCTGGCCACTGTCCCCAGTGCCAGCAGGTAGATGTATGTATGCATTCCATCCCCCGCTTCCCATTCAGTTTTCTGCATCCAGTTGCTGGGGCTGCTCCCATGACCCAGGCTCACTCTGTGCTGGCACCATGCGTCTGCACATGCGGATGCACACATGCCTGTTGCCTCCAATCACCCCAAGCAGCGACTTGTAGACTGGAATGCTGGCAGCCTGCAAGGTGAAACCCATGCTTTCTCTGTTTTTTCTGAGGAATATTCCCTTCTGAATATTCACCAATTGAGAAATCCTGATTTAGAGTATCACCTTTAACAGCTGAACTTCAGTAGAGAAGTGAATTTGCCATCTTGCATGTCAAAGACAGTCAAAGTGTTTCATAGCAAGAATTATTTGCTAAAGAGAAAATGTTGGCTCCATTGTAAAATATTAGCTTTTTTTCACAAAAGTGATTTGGTTTAATATACATGAGTTCCTGTCTTCCATTATGCAGTGATAGCTTCCCCAATCCATTTCCAAGCTGCTGATACAGGTATGGTCTAGTTAATGAAACATGGAGTTTTTCAGGCACATTTATTTCTTTACACTTGTACAGTTAGTTTTTGATAAAGCTTTCGCCAACCACTACAAAACATTAAATTTACCCTCTCACTCAACAGGCCTCATTTGCAACAAAAGAAAAGTAAATCTGCAGAGCTTTTGACAGTAAATGCTAATTACAGTATCAGTGCAAAAATGGTCAGTGGAGAAGAAAAGTGTAGTCTTTGTTATCCAAATTTATGCTGGAGCTTCTGTTTGTTATTTGTGATATCCTCATGTGTTAAAGGTGCTTTCCAAGTCTATTTTTAGTTTGCTTAGGCAATGAACTGAACAATAAATATTTAAAATGCATTGTATAATGAGTAGCCAAAGTCTCAATAGCCAGTTCTAGTAAAAATAAATAAAATATATAGCTCATGATTTTTTACCTTTTATATGAACAGTTGAACCTTCAGTGTTTCAGCCTATAATCTGTAAATGCAATAATTGTTTTACATTTAGAATGTCATATTTGTTGTGAGTAATTGTATCTCTAACATTTTATGCCTTTTAAAACTGTAAAAGAGTTAAGTTACGTGTAATATGTATTTTAAAAAGAGAAGGAAAAGGCCTCCAAATATCAGCTTTTTAGGTTCTTTAATACATGGGAGCAAACATGTTTGTCAATTTGAATTCTGATAGCTACTTCTTTTAAGGATGTTCTTAGTATAAGATCTTACTTTGGGATTTGATTCTCATTAATACCATATTTGCTCAAATATAAGACACATGTTTTTGTCCCCAGTCAGCAAGGGGCAGGGGGGAGCTCTTCATCTTACATTCACATACAAGGAAACCTCATTAAATATATTGTCTATCATTAAACTGCTGCCGAAAGCAATGTGTGCTCAGTAATGGAAACTGACTAGGAAGTTGGCTAAGTGCAACTGATACTGAGCGTGACTATAAAGCACATGGCCCATATTGGGCAAACATTTTTTTTTAAAGAAAATGTTTTGTGTTCCAAGTCAAATCAGCTATATCAATTCCAAGCCTGTGAGTAATTGAAGAACCGTAGTTGACCTTACTACTGGCAAACATCCTCCACCCCTGCCTAGGGCTTCCAAATCCTTTGGCAGGCACCCTACATGCAGGCCCAAGCCTCAAAGCTTGGGGTTCAGATGCCCCCGAGTTTTGCTTGCTCTCAACCATATGGCTGCAGGAGCAAGCTCTAGGGAAGAGTCTCCCATTTCTGTAAAGATAGCATGTATCTGAGATCCTCCCATTGAAATCTGGCCAGTGGGAAGCTAACTATGAGGCTATCATAGGGAATCCTGTCCACAAGCAGGCAAGGGTGCAACCCTCCACTACACAGTGCCATTTTAATTGTGTTACCTTAGTCAGGGTACTTCCCGTGCTGCCATCATGGTCATGGTGCATGCTGATAGGAACCTAGCACAATCTAAATAAGATATATTGTGGTGCCCATTGTGCTCAGTCCCCCTCAGCACTGACTCTTTTTCAAGTCATGGTGAGCTACTACATTGCATACATTTTTACTTCCTCATTCCCACAGCTAAGCTGTGCCTTTCTTTTCCATTTCCAGTCATTTTTCACCATCCTTATGTCTGGGAAATATCACCAAATGGGGTCCCAAACATTTCATCCAGAACCCCTCTGTTGGACTCTCTCTCAACCTGGTACATATGATTAGTGAGACTCCACCCTCAATGAGGTGAAGCCAAACTAGGTTGCCCTGCATCTCATCTACAAATAAATTTTTTGAAGCATCCCAGGACCCGTGACAAGAACAACTAGTTCCAGTCATGAGTGGGGGCTAATTAACACATGGATCCTTTGTGGAGGGTATCTGGAGTACACTCCCATATTGAGCAGTGTTGAGCTGTGGGGTAACCATGGCTTGAAATACTGTTGACTGTACTGTGGCACAGCCCAATGAGCTATATGGGAAATCATGAAATTGGCTTTAGATTCATATCATGCATTGTTAGTACTATATATAAAAAGGTACAAAAGTGCTCTTTTAAAGTGTGTTTATGGAATACCCATGCAAAAACTTGCAGTACTTTCAAAAAAGGGTAAAATGCATTAGTTTTGGATGAACTAAGTCTATGGGTACCCATAGTAATGTGCCTCTGTGCACATCCAGACCCGTATTTGCACTGTCTCTGCAAATTACTATGGGCCTGTTTATCAAAATCAGTGTGTTCAGATATGCCCCTCACTTCCATGTGCTCTCAGGGAGTGTAAGGTCTGACAGTAAAGGGGGTGGAAATGGCCTACAGGGTGGAACAAGCTGGGGGGGGACGAGGGGAAGGGAGCCACCTGATCCCTCCCCACCCCCCATATCTGTTTTTACTGCTTTAGCAAAGCAAATCTCCAATAATTAGATTCTACATCTGGAAACTTATAACAAATGTATACATTTTCCATATATATAATTTAATTCTTGGGGGGGTTCTTATATTCAGGGTCATTTTATATTTGGTAGATAAGATTAATATACTGTGAAAGGTTTCATAAAGAAAATTTTAGCACATATGTTTTCAGAAGGATTAAAAGAATACTCAGGTTTTAATTGTTTAATTTAAACATCTGTAATTTTGTTTTAGTCCAAACATCTGTAATTTTGTTTTAGATGAGAAATATTAGTCAAAATGAGCAAAAATCTAGATAATAGTTATTCAAAAACCTTAAATAATAATTATTGCTGTCTGTATCCCAGAGATGCTCTGTCCTAAACATAGGGAGTTTGCCAAAATACATAAGACAGCATATGATTACCACTTTGAGTTTGTTTATTTCCATTATCCAGCTGTTTTTATGCCAATTCAATAAAAAATGGTTTACAAAACACATAGCCCTTCTCCTGTGCATTTGTCTGTCACTCAAAAGTAAGATCAGTTCATAAACCTGCCTAAATGCTTCCATTCACTTGGAACATGGAAATAATTACTTGGAAATAGCTGTGTTTGAAACACTATCTATTTCCAAATTTGAAGAGATGGGAGTTGTTTAAACTGATTTATGAGGTGATGTCTGTTTGATAGTTGTCTGTGTAGGATTGTGCATATTTATGTTAAACATAAGTTTTTGTATAATTACTCTGTTGAAAGATTTTTTTTCTATAATGCTGACTATAAACAATTGACGTTCCTTGCCATTCTATCACTGCTTTTAAAATGCAGGAATTCTTAGGCAAAGGAGCTCAATGCAAGCATGTTTTCGGGAGTAAATCTGTACCAGTTCCTGGAGGGGAAAGCATATAAAAAAGTTGCAGGGAAGAATACAGACCTCTAGTGTTTGGGTGAGAAAAGGGTAGAAATGTAGCCTATGGATTAACAAACTATGCTAATGAAATGGGCAAGTGGCCTGTGTAGCAAGAACACATTCTGGAGTCTCTACTGTTCTTCAGAAGCATAATTAAAAGCTACAGGGTAGCTGCTCCATAGGATCAGGCCCGGCACAGGGAGGGCATGTGCTGCCCCTAAGATTGGCCGGTGCCGATGCTGCCACCAGCATCTGCGGGCGGTTGCC